GGGACTCCAGGATCATGACCTGAGCCGAAGGCAGTCGCTTAACCAACTGAGCCACCCAGGCGCCCGAGATGAAGTCTTAAAGGGAGAGACAAAATAAGGCAGATAAAGGGTCAAGAAGCAGAAAAGGATTCTGGGTATTGGAAGCATCTAGGCAACCCTGGCAAGAGGCTCTGATGGCTCAAGACTATGAGATGATGTCTGCAGTAGGCGGATCAAGCAGGATTTATACTTAAACTTTGTAGTTTAAGTATATCAGCTTAGGGATAGGACCCTATTTGGGGGGCTAAAGGGGCCCTTAAAAATCTGCTTGCCCAATTCCCTCATTTTAGAGGTGGAAATAGAACCTCAGAGAAGTTCAATGACTTGCTCAAGGTCACACGGTTTTCCCGGTGTGGCACCAGGACTGGAACCCAGGTCTTCTGTATCCTCACTGGGCCCCTTGACTGCCCCCTCATTCCTGGGTCCCCTGCAGCTGGGAGGAGGAACTGGAGGAAAGAAGTGGGAAGAAAGGGGCTGCTCCCTCCATTTCTCAGTTTAATTTTAAAAATTTATTTTATTCAATTTGGAAAATACAAATCCCTGGGTGCCTGGGGGAGGGCGGATGGGCAGGAAGAAGAGGAGGAGGAATTGAGGCGAGGCATGAGCATCAGAGTGGCTGTCTCATGTGCATGTCCAAGTCCCTGCCCCAGGAGGTGGGGGGAGGTTGAGCAGGGAGCTCAGGTCCGAAGGAACACCATGGTGAGGAGTCCTGGAGAGGGGAGAGAGGACAGCAAGCTGGTGGTGAGCAGCGCTGGGGCTCTGCTAGCCTTCCTCCTAGGCCCCCACGCCCCTGGCCACTACTGTGCTCACCCAAGATGTACGCTGCCACCAACTTCTGTCCCAGGGAGACGTGCAGGATTTGGGGCAGCTGGCTGCCAAGCTCGTCCTGGAGTGGGAGCAGCAGGAAGGCCACAGAGACTATGCCCGTCAGCAAGAAGAGGAGGAAGGAGCTGGTGGCCAGTTGTGGGGGGCGGT